GAGTGAATCATGCAAAGCTACTCAAGTCAAGTATCTGACTAATAATACAGAGCTGGAAACGAGCATAAGAGGTCCCCTTTAAGATGATTTTCACATTGAAGAGCATGATGGCACACATTCTTCACAGCACGGAAAAGGCTAAAAGGCACTAATTATATGTTTTGCAATCCAAGTGAAAAATGAAACTACTGGATACGGTGCTGCTACTTATACCCATTAGTGGTTGAATTTCTGCATTATAGCCTATGTAGCCAACTTAATAAGTCAAATATGAACCATGGGGAGCAGAGGGATTATTTTACAAGGATGCAAAAGTCTGACAATTATTTCAAGGGAGAAAAGATGGTTATTGGACTGGTTGTTTTACCTCAAATCTACCCTTCGATGAGAGTAATTCTTTTAAATAATGGGTTCATTATGTTTTAATATTGCAGCTGAGGGAGAAAAGGTATCAAGATCATTTATTTCCACTGGTTGGTAGCGGAACAAGAGAGGCAACAGCAGGCAGGTCATTTTAGGCAAAGTGGAGCTGTGCTGATATGCTTTTGACATCTCTACACAGTCAGTCAGCTGGTTGGACCCCAGTGACGGTACCACTGTGGTGATGAGGGCCTGCTATGAAGCCTTGAGGACTCGATGCTAACAGGGGCCTGATGTTGCTGGGTAAGCTTGCCAGCGAGCTCTGGCCGCCCACTATAAAAACCCAACTCTCTCTAGCAACAAGGGCCAAAAATTAGCAGCATGCTCAAATGACAAAGCTAAGAGAGGGGGGCAGAGGGGCAACGGGAGCTGACGGTAGTGCACGCTGGGGGGGATATCCTATACCTTGAAGGTTTGGGCTGACGAAGGGAGATAAAGGAGGTGGTGGGGGTGGTGGGTGTTGGCGTCCAGCTGCTATGTCTGGTGTGATGACGGCACCAAGAATGGACAGCAGGTTTGCAGGAGGGTAGGCTTGTCAACACCACTGACAACCCCCTGCCAACAGCCTCGACCTCCGTTAGATCACCGCCAAGCGCGAGATGTGGGCAGGGGAAGGGCTATGACACTATGAGAGCACAATATTGCAGAGATAGCCCCCTCATTGTAAACACATAAATCCTCCAGTGGGTCATGGTGACTCAACAGGGCCTACTGTTGACCGATACGGAGTGGGCTCAGCTGCCAATGCGGTTTGGCAATAATTATTTAAAGGAGCTGAGAGGCAAACTGTTCTGACTGGCCAGTGACTGTAAAGTTGCTCTGTGCAACACACAACAATAGAGAGTGTAGATACACACAACAACACCAACATGAGCAACAGAAAAAAACTACAACTTAATAAAACAAACAAACAAACACACACAAAAAAAACACTTTCTCACAGGAGTAAATGTCAGTCAGGTACAAATAGTGTTATAGGAACACAGCAACTAAACTTTACCTGCAAGAGCTTCTGCACACACAGAGAATGTCCATTTCTTGAGGAGAGGTGAAGAGCGTTTTTACCTGAAAGTGATAAATGTAGCAATGAAATCAACTACATTCACAATCAAGGGTTTTTGCATGCGTGTAATTTTAGAGCTAAATGCCTCCATGTGCAATTATCAGTATAAAATATGCATGACTTCAGTGTGACAGTTGCCAGGAAACAATATTATTCTGTGTCAAGCAGCCAGTATTAAGTCAGTGCTGATGATGACTGATTGGGATCAATCAGTGCATCACTTTGAGCTTTTATTAGCAGGTAAAGCAGAAGCTTTGTGAAGAGAGAACATTAGTTTTAATTATTTAAGTCACAGCTTGACATAAATTATGTTTTATCTGAATTTCAACCTGTATAGTAAGTGATTTCATCAGTTACAATGGATTACCAAGGAAAAATTATTAAATACTACTATACATTATATGATACAGATGTGTGAAGGCATTTATTCTCTCAATTTTAAAGGACAAATTCCCCTTACACGTGTGATTTCATCAAGTTACAATGGATTACCAAGAAAAATTATTAAATACTACTATACATTATATGATACAGATGTGTGAAGCATTTATTCTCTCAATTTTAAAGGACAAAATTCCAACCTTACAAATCAGTTGTGATTTATTTCTCA